TGCTTCTCATCACCTCAATTTCCACTCTTTTCTCACCAACCAAGCAACAATAGCTGTTGCATTAATACCTCTAGAACCTTTGTTCTTCAATGCTTCAGTTACTAATCATTTTGAATCCAACAATATATTGTCAGAATTCATATGGCTCACAAATGGGCCAAACGATATTTCAAGTTTAATATCACCTTGAAAACATGAATATTCATGCACGAGAATAGTTTATTTGTATCATTAGTGGAGTTGGAGGGTTTATCTATTTTTTTTTAATTTAGGGGTTTTAAAGTTATTTTAAGAAAATTTTGAGAGTTTAAGAAGGGTTTTTACCTGAAAAAATTAAAAAAAAGTGGAGGGAACTGGTACATGGTAAAGTTTTAAAGATGTGGTTTTGATTTGTTAAACGTGGATGAGTTCAGAACTGAACACGTGGTAGAAACCTGATCCACATAAGATCCAAATCTAGTGTACTCTAGCCTAGTCCAAAAAGGGTCTTTGTGTGTTTTACCAATGATATTAACTGACATCATTACATCTGAATGACTTAATTTACCTCGTTCTTTTACCTGAAGTGATGAGTGATGATCAACGCCAGGAATTAATATGGTTGTTAATTTTAAATTTGGTTAGAATTAGACCTAATAAAAATACATTCTATCTTAACTCTATCCATAAAAATGGGTTAGGGTTTACATATTTCAACTCGCAACTCGTAGATAATTCGTCTTATCAATCTGTACGGGTCATGAGTTAGATTAGGGTCAACCCGCGAGTTGACGGATTGACCTGTTTTTTTTATTTTTTATTATTATTTTTAAATAGTATACTTATTATTCTTAATTAATTTTCCTATTGTTAACTCCTTTCATTAATTCATACTCCCTAATTTCTAAAGAAAGACAAAAAAATTATGATGAGTTTGATCTAATTATCCAAGTATTTTTTTATTTTTTGGTATTAACAATTACTCAAGTATCATGAATGAAATGATAATGCAACTAAAAATATTAAAAAATGTGATGTTAAAACATAAACATAATAATTTACTGAAAGATGTTCTTGGAAGAGCAATTTTATCATTAAAAAAATGGCTTAAACTACTTGATAATGTTTCAAGATGATTATAAAATTAAAACTTTATTTTTCAAAAAATTTAAATATTTTACGTTCAATATTGTTATTGTTAATCAATTTATTATTATTTATAACTTTATGATTTTTTTCTTAATTTAATTGTTTGTGATTGAGACTATAAAATATTTAGTTTTAATAAATCACAATACTTTAATTA